ATCTCGTTTCTCACAAGTTTAGTTAATTTATGTTTGTGTGCTGGAGCACTTCCTGTTTCTTGCAAGCATGCGGTTGTGATACCCATCTTAAAAAAAACAAACGCAGATTTTAATGAGCTCGGAAACTACAGACCAATATCTAACATTTGTTTCATCTCCAAAATTATAGAACGGTCGTAATAGGTGAATTTGTAAATCATTTAAATAAACATAATTTGTTCCCGATTCATCAATCTGGATATAAACGTTACCATTCTACAGAGACGGCATTGTTATATTTCTTGTCCGAATTATTTGCCTCCATCGACAAACAGAATATTGCTCTACTCGCATTTTTGGACATGAGTGCAGCGTTTGACTGTGTTGATCATCAAATTCTATTGAACAGATTAATTCACGACTTTGGCATTGCTGGAACTGTTATCAAGTGGTTCGACTCCTATTTGACTGGAAGGACTCAACAGGTATTTTTCAAAGGGCATCTGTCTAGTGTAAAAACAAAGTCATCCGGAGTGCCACAAGGTTCAATACTTGGACCTATTTTGTTCATACTGTATACAGCTGATGTATTTAATGTAATTAATACTTTTAGTTTTTCTTATCATGCATATGCCGACGACATTCAAATAATAGTCAGCAGTGAACCAGATCAGTTCGAAAGTGCAGTTGAAAGACTAATAAAATGTTTGGCTGAAATTGACTCATGGATGTCAAAAAATTGTCTAAAACTTAATCAAAATAAATCACAGTTTTTACCAGTGGGCACCTGGCAGCAGCTATCAAAAGTAAAAATTGATTTAATAATGATTGAAGATGATGAGATAAAATTTTGCAAGAAGGCTACCAATTTGGGATGTATTTTTGACACTAAATTAAAACTTTGTGACCACATAAAATTGCAATCTAAATCATGTTCAGCACAACTTCAACAAATATACCGAATAAGAAAATATCTGGATCAAACTGTAACACAATCATTGGTTCATGCGTTTGTCCACTCGAGATTGGATTATTGCAACGGTCTGTTTTATGGGTTGCCAGAAAGGTCTATCGCTGACCTCCAGTCTATTCAGAACAGAGCTGCAAAGGTGATTTTTAGAGGCAAAAAATACGATCATGTTACGCCAATTCTGAATAGCCTCCATTGCCTAACAGTGAAGAAACGAAGTTTTTACAAAATATGCGTCATTATGTACAAGGCCATAAACGGACAACTCCCAGAATACCTGGCTGATAGATTCATAAAGAAGCCGCTGTCTTCGACTGGCAGACGCATGCGATCAGATGACATCAATTTTGTACCAACTACGCAGCTGCAGACATCGTCTAGAGACATTGCAGTGTCGGGACCAATCGTCTGGAATAGTCTGCCAGTGTCGATGAGAATGTCAAAGATGAACATTGTTGATTTCAAAAAGAATTTGAAAACTTATCTATTTGCGATGAACGATTGTAATTGATTGTATCATATCGTCTATTGATAGGATGTACATTATTTCACTGTTCGTTTATTATTTTTCTTTTTTCGATAGCGCTTGTGAGAGATATTTATTTTAATAGGCGCTTTATAAGTGTTTGATAATAATAATAATACATGTGTATCTATATTACTGTATATGTATGTATAAATATTTGTATGTATAAATATTTGTATGTTTGTATGTAATTGTATGAGTGTGTGCATTAAAAATCAGTGATCTTTGCATTAATTATTGTATATTGTATGTGCTAATTTTATAAATACTAATGATACTAAGTTTCCTGAACTAATTTCAAAAGCGAATGTGTACGATGTGTACATGTATGTGTGTACGTATATATGTATGTGTTTACTTGTCTGTGTGTGTGCGTATGTGTGGGTCTGTTTGTTTATTCATCTTTGTGTGATGTTGTTGTTGTTGTTGTTTCCATAACTTCCTGAAATAAATATTAACATAAAAAAATATATTTGTTTACATTTTAAACCAAAACATCAAAAAGTTATATGATATATGCGATGTGATGATATACTGACAAGATGCCAAAAAATTTATAGGCTATGACGTCAAGAATTTAATAAATTAATCACTGACTGACACAGATACCGAGAAAGATACAATTAAAAAATGGTATAATAAATAAATAAACTAATTTTTGTTTACAACGACAGGGTTTTTACAAACATTACTGAGCACAATGATTCGTACTCTTTGGTAACATTTTCAGTTTTAACAGTGACGTCAAATGTTTGTGGTAGTCATGTTACATGTTGTTACAACTGGATGAATGGCATTCGTGATTGCACACAAGTAAACTCTATTGATTGCAAAATGACACGAGTCATTTATTAATGAACTAAACTTAACGGACTTTTTGTGAAAATCTGATTGCTTGTGTTTTGGTATTTGTGTATAGTAAGAAGAATATATGGATATGTATGTTCGCGTGTTTGAATATATGAATGTGTGTGTTTGGGTGCATATTTTCATGAAAATGTTCTAATTACATAAAAAACCTTTAAATACACTACCCAAGCATACACATATTCATCCATTCTATACATACACATTAGACACCGATATTCAAAACACGCGTACATAAGCACATACAGACATCTACGTACGCATATAATCACACACACACCTACACACACACACACACACTTATGCGCCGCGGTGTCTTGGCGCATAATTAAAATATCCCATTAGTCGTATAACCAACTGGTCTGGTCTACATGTAAAATTGTAGAAAGATCTGGACCAATTGATGGTAAAGAATTCCATTAAATTCTCTTTGTACGCCTCTTCCATTTGTTGCTCTTGTCGATTTGTGGTTAATTTAATTAGTTTGAATTAATTTTTTGTTAAAAATATTTATAACATATATGTTTAAGCTTAAGTTTGTTGTATGCTTTAGTTTACGCTAAATGGGAAATGTGAAATCTCTCATACTCAGATTGCATGATTGATGAACGTATATTTATAAATTTTTTACATTCGGTAGGTTTCAATTTTTGCTTTTGTTTCTACGTTTTATACTCAGCCTGAAGTTCTCGATAGAATAAAGCAGTCGATGTATTATCTTCGTGTGGTGCTGTTTGGGTTACTTTACGCGATTACCAGCCAGCCAGCCAGCCAGCCAGCCAGCCAGCCAGCCGGCCAGCCAGCTAGCTGTCTGTAACACGTCTGCTGGAAGCGAATGAAAGTTTAACGGTGAGACGAAGGTGTGCTGCTTCTTCCTTCTATCTGCGTTGAGGTGTTTGGGTTCAAGTGCAAGAGATTCCCGCTTGTCACGTGCCTGCCTGTGTGAAGAGTGCTTGGGGAATGTTGAATCCAAGCTCTACAGAAATGTAAATTTTCTTTTGTCACCCGTAGGCACTCCTACACGGCTGCGTTTTTATGTAGAAATCAAACGTTGTCGTGTGCGTCAACTTGGCTTCATATTAAACCAACATAGAGTAACATATCACAACACAACACATATCATAATATAACACATCTGATCGAAAGAGATATTTTTGAAGATAGAATATTACGAAACTGGGAATCATCTTACCGAGGAGTTGGTTGTTGAGCGGAAACTGCAAGACTACCTATGCGAAAAAAGTGGTTTATTAATTTCTCATTAAAAACTCTTTGATTTGTTGCGCTCCATCGAAATATGAGAAGCTCTAGAAATGGACACACGGGCCACTCCACCACCCGCGGTTTCAGTTGGTCGTGTTAAGAAAGTGCTAAAAAATTTGAAATCAATTTTGATTTTTTTAAATAAGTGTAAAAAACGACAACATTATATTTCTTAAAATTGTTTCTGTAAAAGAAATAAGATTGATTCTACTAAAAACAAAAATGAAGAATTAGCTATATATAAAATTGTACGCTTCACTTGATCAATAGTAAAACGCTAGGTAGACCTTTGAATAACTAGTTGGCACTGTGCAATGTAACATTTGTCGCAACGTCAACTTGAAATATGTCATGGTGATATATTTTTGTATTTTATTAATGTATCAGTGACTGAAGGCTGTAATCATCGACATTGTTCGAATAATTTACTTTTGTACGATTGTATTTTCACAGACACGCACATAAATCTCTGTTCTATTTCAAAAAAATCTCAATTTTAACTTTGAAGTCTCCCTATATTCTACATATGTCAATTGAACAATTTTTCCAACTCGTCTAAAATGCAAACGTGCGTGGCTCTTGCTTTTATTTTATTTGATTGCTTTGCGCTGTAATTTATTATTATAAAAAATTTCACATTCCTTTTCTGAACAGTTTCCTTTAGAAAAAGAATGTAAAAAATTAAACACTTATACCAAACTATTGAAATTCTAAACGCGTAAAAACGCTGCTTGTGCATGAAATAGTTGACGAATAAGGTTCACTTCACACACACTAATATAGGTAGGCCACCCGCTCACCAAGTGCCGACCATCTTCATCTCCTACTACGAGCTTCTGATTCTCATAAAAAAATACTCAAACTGGATTATCTAATTCCACCACTACAACAGCACAATAGCTTCGCTTCTTCGTAACATTCAATCATCCCACCTCTACGACCTCCACTGCAGATTTGGAGAATAAGAAAATGGGACTAAGGAAGTAACATGAAGGAGAAGAGTAGAATCTAGCAACATTATTAATCTGAGAAGAAAGTGAATGAGTGTGTGTATGCATAGCTTTTTACGACGTCAAACAGTCAAACTGGCATTAATGTTACATCTCAGTTTTTCATATAGGCTATTTGTTTTTCATATAAGACTGAATACAATTCCAAAACATTAACTAACATTATTCTATAAAAACGAAAACAATTAAGAGCATAAATAAAAAAATGTTACACAGTTTCCATTTCAGCAACAAATTGTCTCGCGACGAGTCCCAAGAAAAAATCCATTTCAATTTCACTTTCATGTTTAGCTGATTAGTTGAACCGCATTGTTGTCTTGTCAATTTTTATACTCGATACCTAATTTTAATTCTCAGGTAAATTAAAAATTAAAGTTAGTGAAAGATGGCCCCTATCGGCACACGATTTTTCTTGATGTTTCACGTTTTATTTTTTCTTTATTTGACGCTTTTAAATGCCGTAATAGCAGGTTGGACTCATTTGTGTTTTTATTTGTTTGAACTTTGTTTTAGTTTTTTTTTTATATTTTTGTGACATTTTTTATTTATAATTTTATTTTAATTATTCAAGTTAAATTTAAATTACATACAATACATGCATCTTATTTAAACTACGAAAACAACGTTTCAATTACTTACTCAATTAATTAATTATTAATTTTAACTTAAAATAATAATGCATCAACAAACCTCATCAAACAAACAAACAAACAAACAAACAAAACCATTTTGATTTTTTTGATGTCATTTCTATTTAAAAGTTTTATTGAAAGTTGTGCTAACAAATATATAAGCAATAAGGGGATTTTTGTAAAATTAATAAGAAGTAACTTATTAATAATTTGGGTGTTTGTCAACATTTAAAACTCAAGTCAAAAGTTTGGTTTGATTTGGTTATTAACTAACCGTTAGTTCTATAAAAAAAACCAAAAACAAATTATAATAGTATTTAAAGGATTTAGAAAAATATTTCATTAGAGTTGTATTTTAATCTTTAATCATTTAATTAATGCAGAAGAAACTACAATATCATCTGTTGTGGTGCCAACAGCTACCAACCCATTGGGTTTGGGTGTTAATTTTTTTAATTTAATTTTCAATCTGACATCAGAGTTGGTTTTCTTAAAGACAATTAGGAAATAAATGTCTTGTGATTTCTTTTCATGATTAATTTTTAATTTTATATTTTATTTTACTTCATAATTTTTAGTGATTCTAATGAAAGCATAACTGTTTTAAGTGACCTACCTGCCAAGTTGTTTAACATTGGATGCAAGTTATATAGAGGATTCAGTAATAATGTAGATAGATGTTTGAAATTATCTTTTTAAAAACATTTTCAACTGTTTTATCAGTAACTGAAATCGGCTGACAAACACATTAAAATTTTTTGCTTGAAAACATTATAGTGTTGCTTTCCATTTCGTTGTGTTGCACATAGAAGAGTGAAATTTTTTTAACATTTGAATAAAAAATACCACTTGTGTAATGAAATCATTAAAACCGAAATACTCACAATGAATTTAATAATAATTTTTGAAATAGATGCTGATAAAAATATAACTGGTAGAATGTCGAACAACAATATGTCTACAAAAACGAATAGAATTAAAACAACCACCGTAAAAGCTCCTACAATTAACTACTCACTAAACACGCAATCTTCCACTCAAAAAATCCACTTATCCAGTGATCATCCAACGAAGCCTACACAACCTGGCAAATTAATTTCAATTAGCACCAAATCAACTACTGAACAAACAAGCACTGAGCCAGAATTGCAGACCATCCTGCAATCTCAAAGCAACGACAGCAAACCGGCCTTCTCTCAGATGACTGTCACCACATCGAATAATAATGTAATCAATAGTGAACAATCAACAAGCAAAAAAACAACTACACAAACCAAACAGAAAACCAATGCTACTTTCACACAAACTACTAGCACCAGACAACCAACCATAAAAACCAAAAACACCAAAACAACCATAAAATTTATCGAAAAACCAACTACCAAGAGTAATGCAGATGATGAAGATACAGCAAATGAGGATGGGTTTTATGAAGATGATGAAGAAGTTGAAAGTGAAGATGGTTCTTTGGGGGATAGTGAAAAAGGTGTTGTAGTAACAACAACTGAAATTGTACCAAAAGACAAGGTGAAGGTCACTTTAAAAATTAATACGGCTCCTATTGCTGCTAGCAATGAGGTTGATGGTAATGATGCTGGAGAGGCAAAAATAAACAATCTTGGTTGGTGATGATTTGTTGGGTTATTCATTCATTTATTTATTCGTTTATTCGTTCATCATTCATTTGTTAATTAATTAATTAATTCATTCATTCATTCATTTATTCATTCATTCATTCATTCATTCATTCATTCATTCATTCATTAATTCATTCATTCATTCATTAATTCATTCATTCATTCACTCATTCATTCATTTAATTCATTTAATTCATTCATTATTTCATTCATTTGTTCATTCATTTTCTTATTTCATTAACTCACTCATTCACCAATAGTCATAAATTTTGATGACTGTTGAAATAATTGACTATTGATATTGATTGTGATGGTAGTTTACAATTTTTCTCACGTTCATTATTTTGTGCGTGTGTGTGTGCGTGTGTTTGTGTGTGCGTGTTTGTGTGTGTACGTATGTGTGAGAGTGAGCGTGTGCGTGTATGCATAGTTTTTTTTACGGCGTCAAACAGTCCAACTGGAACTGACGACAACTTTACATCTCACTTTTTTCACATATCTGTATTTGTTTTTCATTTAAGACTGAACGAAAATTAAATAAAAAATTATTGTTATTATTATTATTATTGTTGTTATTATTATTACTATTATTATTGTTATTATTATTATTGAAAATATACTGAATGAATAATAATGAAAAAAATATTATCATAATTTATTTATACTCCAATGATGTTAGGTCCGGACGTGCTCCCTAAAATTGGTTATGGTAATGATAGAATTAGTAGTAGTAGCAGTAGTACTAGTAGTAGTAGTAGTAGTAGTAGTAGTAGTAGTAGTAGTAATAATAATAACGATGATGATGGCATTGACAATGACGATGACGATGATGATGACGTTTATGATAGAAGGGACTATGTTGAAAATGTTTCAAATGACTTGGTGAATAATCTACGTGGCCTTTCTAGTGATATCAATGTTGGTCATAATAATAATAATAATAGTAATAATAATGATAATAATGATAATGAGGGTGATAACAATGATGGTGATGTGGGCAGGGGTGATTATGATGACGATGATGATGGTGCTGTTTTAAAGGATAACAGTGACGAAGATGTTTACAAGAGTAAGTTGGAAAGAGTAGGACTGACGATGATGATGATGTTGTTGTTCGTGATGATGATGATGTTGTTCGTGATGATGATGATGTTGTTGATGATGATGAAGAAGATGATTAAGTCAAGCATGAAAATAGTTATAATGATTTACTTTTCTTTATGATTTTGGCATGTTATTTGTACTGAGTAAACATTTCTGTGACTGCAAATTTGCATCAATAAAACATCTCCTTGAATGGTAAATAATAACTATAATAATAATGATAATAATAAATGACGATTATTGTTATTATTATCAAGTGGAATGATGTAATTACACTTGCACTCCGGTTACAATTTTTCATCGTAAAGAAAGGAGAGTTATTTGAACAAAAAAAAGCTTTTTTCCGATTCCATGTGAATAGCTACGTCTTGTCGACGCGTGGAAGATATTTTTTAATGTTTTTATTTATTAATGTAGTAAAAGATGCAAATTCGCACATTTTATGATCCGACCTCGACCATCCTCTCACAACAGCTACTTACAAGTCAATCTTTCATCAACTTTCAAACGCTACTAGCAGCATTCGTTTTAAGATAGACTAGATTTTAAAAAATGCGATGAGGGCTTATTGCATACTCTGTCACAGCAAGGCTTGATGGTCCACAGTTGGCACAAAAATCGAACTACTTTGTCTTTTCATCGAAAAGTTATTTTTCAATCTGAATTTTTTCAAACAAATCGCAGATAGTAAAAGGTATATCAGCTTGGAAACATGCTCCTAAAAAAATTTTTTTCCCACATTTTGAGGTTTTTTTTTATTTGTTGATACACAACGTCAAAGTGTAGCCGGGGTATTACATTAAAAAATTTCTAATGAATTTTTTTTAGCGATAACTCGATCAAATTTCTAACAAATTTTGATTGAAAGACAAGCAGTGAGAGATTGCACAAATATGCCACTCAACTTTTTTATTGTTTTTGCTGGGTTCTTCTTACTATTGCTATCCAACTTCAAAATGTTGCCCTTAAACATTAATTATAAATTTTCAATTATTGATTTAGCATTTGGTAAAATTCATTTGTTCATCATATTTATATTATTATCATTGTTATTATTTTTGTTTTTTTTCTATAATTTCTTTTTTATTTTCTTAATAGTAATATAATAATAGATTTAAATGTCACTTTGCATGCTACCATTTTTATTTTTAAATGAATGAATAAATATAAACACAAACACACACGCACCACACGTACATATCATCATCAATATTTTCACTTTCCCAAACACACACACACACACACACACACACACACACATGCATGCATGCATACATATCAATATTAACATCATCATTCTCACTTTTCCAAACGCACATACACACACAAACACACACAAACACACACACACACACACACACGCATGTACATACGCACATATCACCATCAGCATCATTCCCAAGTATTCATTCATTGATTTGCCATATGGCTTGGTATATTTACAGAGCATGTTAAGCACTTTATAATTGTGAGCTTGTTAATTATTTAATTGATAATAATTATCTTTAATTTTTTTCAATTCAATTTTAATTGAAATACTAATTAAATAATAATTCAAGTACTAACCACCAACAGATCAATAGATAATATCAACAAATAAAATTTGAATAATAAAATAAATTAATTAAATAAATCAACAAAATTAATTAATTAATTATATATTACCAACAAATATAATTTATTTAAATTTTATTTTTCGTTACTTAGTGAAACCGAAATCCACAAAAGACTCAAAACAGAAATCTATGACAAAAAGTTTGCTAAATTAGTTTAATTTTATTGAATAAATTTATTTAATTAATTAAACATAATTAATGAATTATTGTAATAAATAAATAAATGATAAATGACAGATGATGTCATCATTGTCATCATCACCGTCATCATTAAATCATCATTATTATGAATAATGTCATCATCATCATTAGCCTCATTATCTTTATCACTAACATAACTGCCTGACATCATTTACTGCCTACCATCATTAAGTCATTAGATCATTACCACCATCATCATCATCATTGAATCATCATCGTAGTCATCATCATCACCAGTATATATTTGTTAGCGTTAGAGATGTACCAAAGGCCGAAAACCCGCAATTTGATAAGGAAATAATTTTTTGGAAGTGGGAAACAAATTATAAACAACGGAGGGCGATTCGTGTTTAACCTACAAATCTTTATCGAGATAACATTCAATCTCTTGTTTGAATTCAAACGTTTCGAGAGATATGATGGCCAAAATAAACTTTTCGCTAATGAAAGTGATTAACATTTATTTTGCTGGAATCCAAAAGAGTGATGGTTTAAATGGAAGCTGCGACATTCGCCTATTCGACATAAAATTCGTCAAAGTCGAATGTCAAATTTCGACCGGACATTCGGTACATCTCTAATTAGCACCATCAACATTGAATGATCATCATTGGCATCATCGTCACTGTGAACAACATCATCACTAGCATCATCAGTCGATGGAGAGTCTTCGTCGGGCGGCTTCATGGTGACACTCGTCATCTTCATCGTACTCTCCGTACTCATCTACATCCTCTACCATAACAGGAAGAAGGTAACATTTTTTGTGTGTATGATGAGCGTATGCGGATCTATGTGTGTGTGTGTTTGTGTTTGTACTCTTATATTTACCTATGTATGTATATGTGCGTGCACTTTACTTTTGTGTACATTCACTTTAAATTAATCGCCAATGTTTTTAATTTGCGTTAATAACAACAACATTGAAATAGAACGAATTCAAATTGAATTAATTACCCAATGGTAATGACTGACTGCCTGTGACTGATTGGCTAACCAATCAAATGGCAGACCAGTTGATTGACAAACTGAACAACTGATTAACTGGCTAAATGACTGACTGATTTATTGATTGAATGACCAATTGACTGATTATTGACCGGCTGTCAGGCTGGCTGTTTAGAATTAAATCAACAAATTAATATAATAACCGATTAATTAACTAACCGATTAGCAAACTTATTATCCAATTTATTAAAAATGTTTGAAGGTGATCGGTTATATAGTGGAAGGACGAAGGAAAGAGACAGGAAGAAGAAGGAAGACAGATGTGCAGTACCAGCAGCTGTCCACGAGCGCTGATGATGTGCTTCAGAAGTCATCCGCAAATGCCGGTACTTCCAAGGAGTATATTTATTAATGGGATGTTTGATGTCTGCCTGTCTGTCTTCTCTTTTCTTTCTCTTTCTCAGTATGTGTATATATGTGTGTGTATGTACATATGTGTTTGTGTGTATGTGTGTGTGTGTGTGTGTGTGTGTGTGTGTGTTTGTGTGTGTGTGGTTCGATGGATGTGTTGATGTACTTCAGAAGTCATCCAAGTGCCAGTACTTCAGAAAGGTGCATTTGTTGGTGGGGTTTGTACGTTCGTTCGTTCGTTCGTTTGTTCGTTCGTTCGTTTGTGTGTCTGTGTGTGACTGGTTGGTTGGATGGATGGATGGTGAATTAATGAATGAATAATTGTTTGAATGTTTGAATGAATAAATGTTTGAATGAATGAATGAATGTTTGAATGAATGTTTGAATGAATGAATGAAAGAATGTTTTACTTTTGAAGTTCTTATCATCCATTACATGTGCATATACATCGATTAAATCGATTAAATCGTTTGTGTGTTTATTGGTTCGCTAGTTAGCTGAACGGTACCCTAATACATTTATTTTATGGTTATTTTGTTATCCAGTTTGTAATTTCAATAAATAATTATGATTAAAACTATTATTAATATTTCTACTATAAAATCTATTATTATTCATATTATTAACGTTAGTTGTTAGTGTTTTCTATGTTAATGTTCACTTATCAATTGCGCTGAATGACGTCTAACCATACTCTCAATTATAAAGAATCAAATGAGAAAATCGCATTCTTTTTGCACTGCACATTCTATACCATCAATTTTATCTTCATATAAATGTATATATCTATAGATTGTATATTATACACGTGTGTGTGTTTGTGTGTATGTGTGGGTGTATATGTGTGTGTATATGTGTGTGTGTATGTGTGGTGTATGTGTGTGTATTGTTTCTTTATATACTGGAAATATTTCGCTTGTTGTCTGTGTCCGCCATTACTTATATTTTATTTCTCGATTTTAACACGTTTTTTTTATTCAATGATATCCTATCTCTTTTTTTTCATCACAGAACGTTGAGTTTTTTTTCTTCATAAATCTAGCAAAGTTATAATAAAATTATCATTTTAGTATTTTTTAAGTATCAGGAGAAAAATGTTGCAAGATTTTATTTCGTATGCATTCAAAAATGTTTAATCTTTAGCTCTGGTTGGTTGCAAAACTAAAAACTATTCAGCCAGTCAGAGTAGACCTTGAGGTTTGCCTTCAATATTTTTAGTTATATATATATATATATATATATATATATATATATATATATATATATATATATATATATATATATCTGTCTGTCTGTGTTTGTGTGTGTATGTACGTGTGTTATTATTTAATTAGGATAGAATAGTATACAGTGTCAGAATCCTAAATCTTTTTTTGTTTACAGGCAAATATGTTACATTTTATATTGAATTTGTTCATTTGTTATGTTAAAAGGGTTTTTGTAGTTTAACATGTTGGTTTTTCCTTATTCATTAACATTTTAAACTATTCCTATTTGAATTATCCACTAATAGTTTGGCATCACGTTCTGAAATATTGGTTTTACATTTAAATCAAATTTAACCATATATCATTTATTATTATTATTGAGTACCTAACATACGTTTTCATTATACACGTTTTAAGCATGCCAACAAAGTTGAAATTATTGTCATTTTGAAATTGCGATAGTTTATAATGTTGGTTGTTGACATAGAAATTGTTGATTGTTCTTTCAAATACTGGCAACAATATTAGTGACGATAATGAGGATGTGATGATGATGTGATGACTAATATTTATTTTATATCCACTTATTGTGTTGCGTGTTGGTTTGTTGCTGTTGTCCTTCGTTTGCTTCATCGGCAGAAGGTTCATTGTTAACATTCAACATTCTTTTTAAACTTCCGTGATAATAAATTACAAATAAAATTTGTTTTTTAAAAGCGTTTGTTCATCGATTGGATGATTGTTACCGCCGTGAAAAATAATGGTTGTTCGGTTGGGTTCTTGGTTAGTTGGTTGACTCTTTGTATGGCCGTCTGATTGATCAGTTGGCTCGCTGATTGGATGGTTGATCTGACTGATTGATAAGTTGAAAACATTGGATGATTGATTGAATGCAAGCGGTACAGGCAAACGCGAAACCGCGGGTATGCATACGATCACGCCATTAATTTAACCGAAATTTTTTTTCTCGATGAATGAATGAACAGATGCTCCAACCGTTCGTGTAGCCAACCATGTTCTCGGTGGAATGAGTTCTTTCCAGTTTCTAAATCTTATAATCTTACCTTAAATTTTTAGATAGTACCGCATATTAATTTATCAACATTTAAAGGAAGCAAAAAAAGTAGAAAGATTCTTGTAACAATGCTACCTAATTAGTTGTGTGCATGAAATTACGAAATATTATAATTACAGCAAGAGATGATATGGAATTAGAAAACGTAACAGTGTCAATTGAGCGACTACAAATTTCTACTACCGCATATTTATGATACTATCTAGATCCTATACACTATATCTTATCTATATCCCATATAAATCCTAGATGCTATCATATATATATAAACAAGACATATCCTAGATACAAGATATATATATTAGATACAAGATATATATCAAAATTTAATGGGTGCCATCCGTCCATCGCTGCTACGTTACTGTTTACGTTTAATCAAAGCGTAAATGTCGAGTGGCAGATATATTCTCGTGCGAGAAGGAGCTGATCTGTCTTTTTAATTTAACTTTCAACCTTAAACAACCCGAAAAAGCAGACGCCCATTTGTTGACAATCAAAAATAAGCCAGCCAACAAAATTGTTCTATTGAAGATAGGCAGATAAATTGAAAATTCACATTAATGTTGTTCGCATTTATGAGGAAGACTACATCGTTGCTGGTAACCAAGAAGAAGACAATAAAAATCTGTGGTGGCCGCCTTCGACATCATGAGTATCGAGGGCAACAAGAAGCTCGTTTTTCCCATTCCGTTCAAGAAATTTGACGATGAAGATTCTCCTGACGTTTTCCTGCCACTCTCCAGACTCTGGACCAGGTCTGTGTGCAATTTTGATGTCATGAATATGTGCTGTGATGTAATCTCTGTAATGTAATGTAATGTAATGTGATGTGATAAGAAGATATAATTATATTTTAGTAATAATTATATTATAATTATAATATATAGTGATATGATGATAGGATGTAATTTTAATGTGCTGTGTGTGTGCTGATATCATGGGATGTGATGTGATTGTCTGTGATTTTTTAATTATTTAGTTTGAAGTTTTGTGGCTGTTTTGCTTGTCATGTTTTTAAATTTTAGGGATTTATTATTTAAAATACTTGACATTGTTTAAAAATATCATTTGCAGGTATAGTTTCTGTATGTATTTATGTATTTATGTTTGTTATATATTGTGAATGTATTAATGTGTTTGTCCTATTAAGTTTGTTTTAGGCTAATTTGATAGATAATTTATAATAGAATTAGAGTTAGACAAAAGGCTTACATTACAGCTTCTGCTTACATGTCAATTGTTATTATCATTATATTGCATTATCATCACATTCACAATTCATTATAATTCAGTAACATTTCCATTTGATTTTCTAATAAAAAAAAAACTTGCTACATTATGATATATATGCAGTTTTTTATAAAATAAAATAATTGTGAATCACAATTTAAATACTCATCTGTTGCAAATAAACTAGAATTGTCAACGTGGTTATAATTTCAAACTTTCAAGAAAAGAGAAGAAAATATGGATAATAATCTTTTTTATTGCCGGGGCCATGTTGTATGCATCGAGAACTGCAATGCCCGTATGTGCAGTGTCTGTTTCACAAGAATTTAACTGGACCAAGACTCAAACCGTTAAGTTCTTCATTCAAAATGCTTCAAATAGTTTACTGAAACGGTAATTTCAAACATTTCTTAATATGATAGAAAAAAAGTTTTTTTTGTAAACTTATTAGGGTATAATTTTAATTTTGAACAGGGCTTGGCTTTATCTGCATTTTTCTGGGGTTATGTGACCACCCAAGTTGTGGGCGGTCACCTGGCAGATAAGCATGGGGGCGAGTACACCATATCCATATCCCTGGCAGGCTGGTCATTCCTCACATTGATGACGCCTTACGTAATTCGTCTGGGACCGCCTACTGCTGCCCTCATGCACGCCGTCATCATGAGGATTTTTACTGGGTGCTTCCAAGGTAGTGGCTAGCAGTTGTAGTTGGGTCTATGTTGTTGTGTAGTTCGAGTTTTTTTTTTCTTCGATGATATTTTCTTGCTTGATTCGTTTTCATTCTGGGTATTTTTCTTGCTGGATTAACATTTTTTGAAAAGTTTTTGAATGTTTTTTGATTAATTTTTGGTGATTATAAACTTAAATTAGTTAAATTAATTAATAACTTAAATTAGTTGGATTAAATTATTAACTTTTACATAAATTTCTTTTAAATTTCTAATGTTGTTAACTGAACTAAAACTACTTGAGAATTAACAATAAGTTTGTATTGCTGTGTGTTCATTATTTTATTTTCACCGACCCAGGGTTTTACTACCCTTCCATGTCTAGCCTGTTTTCCCGAAAGGTGTCTGAATTCGACAGGGCCTTCAGTTACAGCTTTGCCACATCTGGGAGTCACATTGGGTTGGTTGGTTGGCTGGTTGGTTGGCTGGTTGGTTGGATAGTTGGTTGGATAGCTGGTTGGTTGGCTGGTTGATTGGTTGGTTGGTTGATTGGTTGGCTGGTTGATTGGTTGGTTGGTTGGTTGGTTGGTTGGTTGGTTGATTGGTTGGTTGGTTGGTTGGTTGATTGGTTGGTTGGTTGGTTGGTTGGCTGGCAAACATTTTAGACAATCAATTCAATTTTAAAGGCACTAACAAAAAAAATCGAAGATTTCTATTAAATTTAAATAAGTGAAATATATTTCTACAAAACTTTTTATATAATGTGTAGTTCAAAAAGTAGCGGTAGCGATTTTGTTGCTTCTTAATCATTTAACTAGCGCCACAATCGCCACCACTTGCAGTAGTGGTGGCGATTGTGGTCCTCCTTTTTTACGTAGCGCGTTAACGACCCTTAGTGGTAGTACTAGTAGTAGTAGCGGTAGTAGTAGTAGTAGTAGTAGTAGTAGTAGTAGTAGTCGAAGTAGTAGTGGTAGTAGTAGAAGTAGTAGTAGTAGCAGTTGCTGTAGAAGTAGTGGTAGTGTGCAATCAATTTAAAATTGAATTTTCACTTTCTCCTATCATTGTTTAATTGCATGTGAGTAATTTGATATTCGATATTTACCTATATTTATCTCTCTTTCTTTCTCTCTCTCTCTCTCTCTCTCTCTCTCTCTCTATATATATATATATATATATATATATATATATATATTCAGTGAATCTGTTCAAACTCTCAAAACTAGACACACCACTATCTTTTACTCAGTAAAAACTCGCCTTAAACTCATCTCTACAAGTTTAAAAACAACTGGCCCTAAAATTTGGAAATTATTTGTGCCTCATGCCATTCATAACATAACAAACAAGCAACTCTTCAAAAAAAGGTTGCAATCTCAGCTTTACTTACTTCACCCCGACACCACCATCTAACGATTTATATACATTAATATATAGCTGTTGTTTAAATATGAATAGAAGTGTGGGTGTGTTGTGCGTGCGTGTGTGTGGTGCGTGTTGTGGTGCGTGTGTGTTTTTGTCTGTCCGTTATTATTATGATTATTTGACTGGTTCAGAAGTATTATCTGAATATATTGCATTAGAGTTAACATTTTTATAAAATTTCGATATAGTATTTGAATGCATTTGAACGCCGAAATTTAGTTTTTTAATTTTCTAACCTTTGAACCTTTATGTTTATTAATGACTTAGTTAAGGGTGGCCTCTCCACAAGTTTATTTTAAACTTATTTGGTCCTCTATAATGAAAATAAAATAAAATAAATAAAATAAAATATATATATATATGATGTCATCATTATCACAGTACCTTATTCTCTGGGATCATTGGTTCATTGATGAATGATTACCTTGGCTGGCCACTCACATTCATTACCATTGGTCAGTTGGTGGGTTGGTTGGTTGATTGATTAGTTGATTAATTGTTTGTTTGAATAATTGGTTTGTTAGTTTTTTTGGTCAGTTTAATTTTTTGATCACTTGGTTTGAAATTTTGAATGATTTGTTTTTATTAGGTTGAATCAACGAGTTGTTATGCTGGTTGAGTTGGCTAAGTGATTGAACAGCTGAAGGATTGATTGATTGATTGGTTGTTAGATTGATCTTCTGTTTGATTGGCTGATTATGAGAGTGTTTGTTTTGGGTTTTTCGCAATGTTTGCTCTTTTTTATGTACTCTAGTTGGTGGTTATATCTATTTAGCTTGATTTTAATTTGAGTTAGCATACATTAGAATTTTTAAATTTTCTCTTTTTAAATTCAAGGTATATTGAGTTTCCTTCACTTCCTTGTTTACCATTATTTTGTGGTAAGCTTGCGGAGGGTGAAGTTGGCTCAGATATCATCGTCATCACTGTCATCATCGTCGTCGTCGTTGACATCATTATCATCATCGAGAACCACTGACGGCCAGTCTCTTAATTGGTGTCTTTTGTTTACAAAAGCCCCATTTTGGTTATTTATTTTTTCCGATACGTAATTGATGTTATTGGCGAATAAATATCATTACAAACAAAATAACAATCCCAGTCTGATATTAATTATTTGATTATTAATATAGGAGAGTGAGTAATTAAATTTTTATTGTTATTCATGAAGTTAACATTCCTATTTGACTTGTATTAATAACTTTAGCCATTTTTGTTTATCGCTATGGTCTGACACAGGCAGATGCCGGCGCGCACACACATACACACACAAACACACTCACACACACACACAGATGGGCGCACACACACACACGTATTTTTAAAATGATGACGATGACAACAAACAGGGCGATAGTGATAGGAAATTTTTGCTCTGGCTGGATGTTCTTCATACTTCTATCATGGCTGCCTACGTACTTCCAAGAGACATTCCCCGATGCCAAGGTCATTTCAGTCTTTAGTTTATTTTAGATTTAGTTTGTTTACGCCGATGATGACATTATTGTTGTTGTTGATGACGCCGATGACTTTATTGTTACCGATGTCATTTTTTAATTTTATACACCTTCATTGTTTCACTGGCTGGCATGCACAACAGGGATGGGTCTACAACACGATACCTTGGCTGTTCTGTCCTCCCTCTCAGTGGTTCGGTGGCTGGCTGGCTGACCACCTCATCTACAAGGGCTTCTCCACCACTTTTGTCAGGAAGTTCATACAGGTCTCGGAAATATACTTCTATTTTGAAAATAATTCTCATTAATTATTTTTTCAGAATTTGTTATCACAACGTTGAAGATTATATAAGTTTGAACAAATATGTCAATGTTAAAATAAATCAAATAATAAATTAAATAACATCTTAATTTTATTTCTTTCCAGTCGTTGGCATTTCTTGGGTCGGCATTGTTCTTAGTCCTCATGGGTCACTTCGACTCCTACTACTTTGCACTCTTCTGCCTGACTGGGGCCATCAACTTTTCATGTTTCCATCATTCGGGCATCTCTGTCAATGTTCAAGATATTGCTCCTACGTATGCTGGGGCCGTGTTTGGTTAGGACTGTGTGTTGATGTGCGTGCGTGTGCGTGCGTGTATATGCGTGTGTGCGTGCGTTCGTGTGTATGCGTGTGTTTGTGTCAAGAACTCACGAGTATTGCTGTTTATTATTTTTCTATTTCTTTCATTGATTTGCTTTGATTTCGAAATATTACTAAACCAACGAAGAGGTACTTTCAATGATGACGGTGATGATGATGATAATAATAATAATTTGGCGGCGTAGTAGTGTGTTGTTTAAGATGCTTGGCACTGCTGTTGCAGTGACCCTGTTCGAATGCGAAGAAGTCCTCGCCTGTAACATGCAGTCTATATGGTGGGTTGATAGCCGAAGTAACTTTACTTACTTTACTTTACTTCTCTCACCTATTTTATTTTTTAATTTTTATTTTTTTGTGTGTTATAAAAAGATATTGATTTTAATTAAATAAAGGAGAAATGATAACAAGTAACAATAAAACATAATAATAATAAATACGAATAACAATTACACAAAAACCAAGGATTTCAAAACATGGCGGGAGCAGTACCAGGGTTTTTGGGAGTATACGTCACGGGATATATCCTAGAAGTTTCCAAGAGTTGGACCGTCGTATTCAACCTTACCTCGGTCATTTTGTTGGTCGGCTGGTTTGTCTTCATAATGTTTGGTACGGGAAAAAAAGTTATTTAAATATTTCTATGTATATATTTTACAGTTTATTATTATTATATTTTACTAATCCGTTTCCCGTCGGTTTTTTATTTGTTGTTTTTTAATTATTTATGTTATTTTTTATTTTTTTCTTATTATCATTTCTGTGACTTGCCAACCAAAGCCAAATTAATAAATATATATTCCATTTATTCATTTAATAAATCGAGATTTTTTGTTCTCAATATTATTTGTTGATGATGATAATAACAGATCAACTTTTCTGTAATTGTAAATCTTTTTTCCACTATAAATGTCATTGTTGTTATTATTGTGCTACTGTTTTTATTATTTTTTTTCTTATTATTTGTGATCATTGTAATTTGTTGTACTAACAAAAAGTTGTCATTTCCTTCTGTTCAGCGCTTCAAAAATGCTATCAAAAAACTTAAATACGTAACTCTTCTGCCTGCACAGCACTTGAGGCATTGCTCAGCGCGCCTAATTTGGAGTGGTTGTACGCAATTCTCTGTATATACGGGTGTTTACTTGCGCGCACACACACACATACATATATATAATTCCGGTATATTTTGCATATCAATTGTTAAATATGTTATGTATAATTGTATATATATATATATATATATATGAATTTGTTTCTCAACATTCATTTAATCTCTTTGTTTTATATATAAATAATATATATATATATATATATATATATATATATATATATATATATATATATAAACTATATTTGATCTATTTCATGTCTAATTGGCTGACTGCCATGTTGTAATTTTTTCTTTAAAATGTTATTCTCTTTTTATTTGCTAGAATAAAATTCGTGAATGATGTGCCTAACTAACTGAATTGTGTTTATTTTTTACCACCCTTCTGTTATTGTGGTTGTTTGTTGCTGTTGTTGTTGTTGTTGTTGTAGCTCAACAAGGTGGAGTCTTTTCCATGTTTGAGCAGAGGGACTCTAGTGGAGCTCTTCCAAATGTTGCAGTTTTAGATCGAACGATTGAGGATGAGTGCAATGGAGGTAAGACCAAAGTGACCAATGTGTATGAGGTGGATGTTGGAGATGTTGTCAGGGCCTATAGCTGGCGAGTTTTTGGATTGTTTGGTGGCTGATTCGATGTCGTGAGCTGTGAAGGTCGGAGTGTTGGTTATTAGATGGAATTTCATTGTCCTAAATGTTTGACGATTTCTTTTATTGGTTTGTTGTTTTTTGTAATGAGGGAAAGATTTTGTTGAAGCTGTTGGCGATTCGATTGTACGAAGTGATTTGCTTGTTGTTGAAGATTATTGTGCAATTGAGGTTAGTGGGGAATTTGTTGTTCAGTTTACGAATGAGTTTACAGAACTTGGAGCTTTCATGTAGGTTCAGTTGTGCAACAAATAGGTGCTTTTTTTTCTTATGAATTGTTAGTGTTGTATTGATTTGTGTGGTGAGGGTCTGTACTGGAGGTGCCTAGGACTCATGTTTGTGTCGAAACCTTTGCAACCTTGTTGTTATTGTTGTTGTTGTTTATTGTCTGCTATAACTAGTTGCTGCTCATTTAATCAATGTGAAAGTCATAGAACTTAATTTTTTAGTTGTTACAATAATTGCAGTTTTTATAAATATAGATTTTAATGAATTTGTGACATTTTTTTTCAAATGTTTTCTCCTGGACACTTCTGTTTTAAAAACATTCTTTCATGACCGCGAATAAAATTTGTTATTAATATCCGAGTTTTGTTATTCTGGTATATTATAAACGATAGGCGATAAGATATTTTATTGTTATCTAGGAAAAACAAGAGATGAACACTTAAATGTATGTATCTATCTACAAACTCTACTACTCTCTGGTAATTTGAGGACCTAGTGCTTAAGCCCGCCTAGTCCTGTTTCGCAGTGCCCGAAGTCACTGAGTTCGAATACGACAAAAAGACCCCCGCCTATCACATGCTTCGTGTGTGTTGCGTCATTTAGCATGTATTCGTATACAATGTTTGTGGGGTATTGTTCATTCCCCTGAACCAGAAAGAGTGTAATGGACCATAAACCTTTTTCGCAACTTGAATCCTCTTCAACTAAATTCTTGCTTGTTATTATAAATGGTACCATTAACCACATACTTAAAATTTATTCTATATATGTGCTTAGAATCATATATTATAATTTAAATGTGTGGGGCATCCTGTGTATAAAAATTCATTTTAAAATTGAGCAATTGCACACATGTGAAAATTTGGCACATCTCTATTTTTACTCCATTCACGTTTCGCATTACCCTTTTTCTCAAAATCGTCTACGACTACTTGGCTGATTTCCGCCAGAGGGGTTTTTTCGAGGTTCGAGGCTGTTTTCATTTTTCATTCATTTTATATTTGCTGCTGTAAATAAAATTTCATTATAAAAATTAGTATCAGTGTGTCGGTCATGTATTCGCTGAAGAGTATCGTAGATTGGAATGGCCCCAAATTGGACCTGCCCACATGCATGTACCACATGAAGCCTCTCTATTCAAATTCTTTCTCATCTGCTGATTCTGCAAAGGCTGTGCATTCTGCTGGGTTCTCCGTTCATACGGTCCGTGATGATCTAATGACTTCACTTCGTAAAAACTAAAAGTTCACTTAAAATTTAAGTCTTAATTAACTCTTAAAGTCTTAAGACTTAAATTTTTAAACTTTTTATATTTATACTTTATAGAATGTATAATGAATGAATGAATGAATGAATAAATTAATAATTAACCGATTGATTGATTAATTAACTAATTTCAAACATTGAAATATATAGTGATGGAACTATTAAAAGCTAAGATATGATTGAAAATGAATTGATCATAGCTTGGTTTAGACTAAAGCTTTAGGAAAGAATTAAAGAAATGTTTTTTTTAAATGTACATAGCTTATTTAATCTATGTGGCATTACCCCATTTGTTTTGAAAATGATTTTTAATGTTTACATGATATACCATAAAAGGTCACTAATAATTAAAACTTTGTTATATATTTTTTATTGCTGTTTTATTGATATCAAACTGGTTTCTTATTTGAAATTAAATTTTCCTCTTTTATGTATATTTCTATTTATGCTTATTTCTTAGGCTCCAAGCAGTCCAGAATCAGTATTAGAAATGATATCTCGCAGACAAGATCAGTTAATAGTTAGATTGAACAACTTGAGACATGAAGTGGGGAAACTTCTTGGCCAGTCAAACACTGCCAAGCCCATTCAGAAGGCTGAAAGCAAAAGGCTACAGCTGATATCAGACCAAACTCCTGCTCTAAAAGTATTTGTTATTATTAATTTAATAAAAAAAAAAATTTTTTAGACTAAATATTGATTTGTTCAATTTTCAAGAGAGTCTTGTTACAAAGCAGGATAACAGACATAGTTATAAATGCCCACCCATCTCAACTGCCAACATCTCTCTTCATCATAAGGTCATTTCTTCTTCACCATCACCCGATTTTGGTATCCTCTTTTGTTCATAGTTCAGCAAAAGATATAACATCTCCTCGAGTCAAGAATTATTTTGGTTCAACTGGTTCCCTGTGTCCAGATAGAAATTTTTATAAATATGGACTTACATTTATCTGGAAAAAAGGTATTTTATTACGTTTATTTTTATAATTTAATTTATTATAGTTTAATTTAAAATTTGTGATAAAAATGATATTCCAATCCTCAAAATCTAGATAAGAACACTCCGTCCATGATGATATCACCAGGCCAGCAGGTTGCTGTAGTTGGTGAGTACAACATAGCAAGGTTCCTGTACAGTTTGATGCCAGGCACTTGCTATGAATCTCTAGGCAATGCTGTCACTGCTGTTGCTGATGAACTCATGGATAATGCTGCTTCATTTCGCAAGACTGGTTTGTATACATTTGTACATTTTTCGTAGAAAATGATCAGTGGTTTATGTTTTTAATTTTATGTAGAAATTTTTAATGATTGAGTGTTTTCCTTCTTTTTTAAATTTAAATAATTCTAAAATGTTCAAACCAAATATCCTCGAAACTTTCATATTTGAAGTTGAGATTTGAAATAAACACAGGTACTCCTGACCTCAATGATATCATTGGAGCATTAGATAAACAGTTGTCTTCAAAGCAGAAGTATCTTCTGGCAGACACCATATCACTGGCTGATATCATTTTGTGGTCTTTGCTATTTTCAAACAAAGGAGGCAAAGAAAAGCTGACGGATAATGTTAAAAAGTGGTTTGATCACTGCTCTGAATTGCCTGAATTTAAAAATGTCATCTAAATTTTGCTTGTTTAGTTTCCCGTGTCAAATTTTTGTTAGTGAAAGTCGCTTCTGGTCGTCAACCCGATGTGATGTCAGTTAAATCGATAAATTATTCAAAACACATTGTTCTTGGTTTTTGTTTCAATTTACTTTTAATAAATAAACATTGGATTTGCTTGATGAAAATAATGAATAAAATGGTTGATCTGGTTGTTTGTTTGTCGAATTCGGTTGAGATGAACAGATGATCAATGATTTTTTATGATAAAAAATAAATTGGTTGCTGTAAAAAACGCCCCTTCAACAGTATCGCCTGTTTATTTTGCAATTTCAATTTTCTTCTCTGTAATTTTGTTTTTGCAGCTTTGAAGCTGTTATTTATATACCTTTTTTAAATTGAAAATATTTTTTATGGTTATTCTATTCGCTTCGGACCGAAGCCCTCGGTGGTTGTTAAATTATTAAACCATTATTTATTCATCTTATTCTTATCATATCAGTAATGTAACATAAATCGATATGAGTAGTAATAGTAGTGGTTTTAGTAGTAGCAATGGCATTAGTAGTAGTAGTAGTAGTAGAAGAAGCAGTAGTAGTAGTGGATCGTTGCGGTTATCGTTATGTGCTATCCTTTTTTTATCTTTTTTATTTAATTTTTCTGGGACTGCTGCTGTTGGTACGTTGACATCATTTAATTCCATTATTAATTAAATTAAGATTTTTTTATTAGATAAAAATGTCCATTAGAAAGATACAATTAGTATTTATTTTGTCATTATTAATTAGTTTTAATTCAATTAAAAAACGTAGATTTAGTTTTTTTTTATTTATTACTTTAAAATTTTTTAGAAATTAATTATAAAATTGAATCTATTAACAGCTGATGAAAATGGCTTATGCCAAAATGATCACCCTTGCGATACTAACAACCAAAATACAGCAGACAATAATAATGTTACCTATAAGAAGTTAGATGAGGCCCAAGTTACATTCATTTCACATCTAAAGTTCAATTCCTGTCTTGGATTTGTATCACATGATTGTTGGCTGGTAAGCTGTAATCCATCAATCAATCCATATCTATAAAATAAATCTAAATCAATCAATCTATAAAGTATAAATCAATCAATTTGTTTAATAAAACAAAAATTAGTGTTGTGGTCTCATTTATTTTTATTGATTAATATTGTTATTTAATAATGTTATTATTTAATTTGTTATATGAATAATTATTATAACTTTGCTAATTATTTTAAATAAGAAAAACTGTGTATTGCTCATTTAACAACATTGCATACATACACAGCCGGTAATACTCTTAGATCAATGATTTAAAATCATTTTTAATTTAAATTTAAAAAATAAAAAAAATATTGTATTTAAAATCCACGAAAGTGTCCCTATAAGAACAAAACATTGCCTTCAGCCTCTAATGTTACTCTTCTCTTTGACACCAAATTCACCCAAACGTTCGTTATATTCAATGGCTCCTCTAACTTTAGCATATTCATAAGGTCAAACTTTTTGTTAAAAGTTTTAATATTTTCTTCTCACCCATCATACTCAAATTAAATTTTTTGTCAACTTTTTATTTCATTCATTATTGTCATTTCATATTACATTATTGACATTTCAAAATTAGCAACAAAAAAATTCAATCACCAATTTAATTAATTTTTGTATTTTAATTTTAACATGACCAAAAAATACCTTTCTTTCAATAGTAACCAACTACAACCAATCAATTTAAAATCTTTCAGTGCCGAAGATTTTAATTTGGAGAACCAGGCCGAGTATTTCTACGAGATATTCGAGAATGCAACGTCTGCAATGAGCAAAGTAAAAGATGGCATCTACTATGATGACATTTGTGAGTAGATATTGTTATAATAATTATTATGATTAAATTATTATTATTGGGTGATGTTATTATCACCAAATACAGTGGCTTACAGCTGCTTTGGTATCATCTTGTTCCTCTACATATCTTGGCAGCTTCTTCTATTATTGTACAGGCTGGTTAATTTGTCTAATTTGGTTCAGTAAATTGTTAATCTCTTGATTGATTTGCACGTTTATTGTTGTACGTGCTTTTTGTTTTTTAAAGTGTTTTTTATTTAGTTGTGATAAATAGGTAAAGTTCTAGAGTAGAAGTTGAAAATATTTTCTGGGAGTCGAAACTCGGAGTTGGAAATTTTACCTGGAGATGGAAAAATTTGTTATCTGATTTTGATTTATTGTTCATTATTACAGAAAATGTGGTTCATTTCTTAAAAGTTCTAACCAGTTGTCGCTGCTGGATGAGGTTTGCGAACTGTTGTCATCTTTGTATGATGGCAAACAGTGTGATGCGACGATGGCAATAATGATAATGATAACAACAACAATAATATTAATGTCATTCATCCACTACTCACTCAGAACGAAGGAGTGAACGGTGAAGAAGGAAGAAATGATGGAGAAAGAGTGAATGAAGTTAGAGATGATGGATTGCTGTTGTTGTACGTGCGAGAAAAACCACGAGTCAAATCCATTGACGCATTCAGAGGGTTGGTACGGGATAATAATAAAAAAATAATGTTTATTATATATATATATATATATATATATATATATATATATATATCATTAAACTTTATATAAATATACCTTATAACGCTCATTATTAGCGTTATAATATAAACGATATAAGATATATTATAAACGATATTAAAATACAGATAAAAACAACTGATAATTACGTAAATGATAATGATAACAATATGCATAACAGTCAGACGCACCGAACATTCAGTCGAAAGTTGATAATGGCTATGTTTCCGTTTTAGTCATCATTCTTTTTGCTCGCAGAACGTCAATTGTTGATTATTATTATTAAAGGGAAATTTATTTTGGCCATCGTCGACGTTAAAACATCTGAATCTGAAGATCTGAGATTGAATGTTATTTCGTTAAAGAATTTTTGGATAGTCTTGAATCGCCTAAAAATTTTTTTCAAATAGCTTGTTTTTCATTCTAAAAAATGAAATATTTTCGAGCGATCTTTCGTTTCAGCTGAATGGTGATCGACTGTTCGGCTATTCGGCCAAATTCACTATATGGGGCCTCTCCCATAGTGATGTTATTACATGATATGAATAATAATTAATTCTCCTAGGTTATCTTTAATATTGATGATCTTTGTAAATTGCGGGGGCGGAGGTTATTGGTACTTCCAGCATTCCACCTGGAATGGCCTGACTCTGGCCGATGTCGTGTTTCCATGGTAACGATGATGGTGATGGCGGTGATGATGACGATGAGGATGGCGGTGATGATGATGATGATGACTATTATATCGACGATAATCTTATAATGATGATGTTGATGATGATTATGGTGGCGGTGATGATAATGATGACGATAATGATGAGGATGATGATGATGATAATTGTTATATCGGCGATAATTATATAATGATGGTGATGATGATGATGGTTATAAGGACGATGATGGCGATAATGATGACGACGACGACGATGATGAAGTTGTTAATTTTTTTTTAAATTTTATATTCTCATTCAAGCTGCTTCACATATACAAGCACACGCACACGCGCTTAGGTTCGTCTTCATCATGGGTATGACCAGTGTAGTATCGACCGGTGCCATGTTACGGAAGGGCAAAACTAAGTGGTTGATAATTAGGTCATCCGCAATTAGGTCACTCACCTTGTTTGCTATTGGTCTGGTTCTGTCCAATCAGAATTGCTCATGTATGTGACGTTGTTTTGATTTTGATTCGTTTCTCTATTACTTCAACAGCAATAATAATAATAATCACAACAAAAGTATAAAAATATTATAAATAATAATATAAATATAATAATATAAATATTATAACACAAATAACAGCAACAACAACAATAATAATAACAGACTTAAGTAACTTGAGAATATTTGGAGTGCTGCAGCGGTTGTCGATTGTCTACTTCTTTGTGGCTGTCGTTGAAGTCGTCTCGCAACATCGAGAACGTGTCGACGTTTTTGTGGTCGGTTGGTTGGCTGCTCTATAATAATAATAATACTGACAATAATCATTATATTAATGATAATATTAATAATAATAACTTTTCAAAACAGGGAAGATTTAGGATGATGTTTAGAGACGTAGAGGATTATTGGAGGGGCTGGATTGTCGTGATCACGTGCATCGCCCTTCACACATGCTTGACCTTCACCCTGCCTGTTCCCGGTTGCCCAAGGTCAATTGATTGGTCACGTGGCTGATTACGTATTTGGCTGGCCGTATCGTTGATCATGCGATTGGTGATGGTGATGATGCTGTAGTGGTGATAATGATAATGATGGTAGTGGTTAGAATGAACGATAGTTTGATTATGGTTCATTCATTTGCAACTATATTTTGGTTCTAAAATTGGCATTGCTACAATGTTTGCTACTAAGATACCGCCAGAAGAAATGTCGCCATTATCGCTACTTCACTGTCAACTACATGGCCAACCAATCAGCCGAACAATCGACTAACCATTTAACCAACCAACCAACCATCCAATCAACCAATAAATTAATTAACCAACCAATACAATCAATAAATCAATTGACATATTAACTAATCAATTAATTAATTAACTAATTCTATTAATCAACCATCCAACCTACCAATCAACGAACCAACCAACCGTCTAACCAACCAACCAACCAATCAGGGGCTACCTGGGACCAGGGGGTTCACACGATGGTGGCCGGCATGAGATGTGCGTGGGTGGAAGTGCCGGATACATCGATCGCATCATAGTTGGGAGCAGCCATATGTACCAGCGGTCAGCCATCAAGGTAGGCAGTGATGATGATGATGCTCATGGTGATGGTGATGATTATGGTGATGGCGATAATGAGGATTATGGTGATAATGATGATAGTGGTGATAATAAAAGAATGTTAAAGAATAAATAAATGAATGAATGAACGAACGAACAAACTAAATAAATAAACAAATCAATAAAAAAAATAAAATAAATGTTATTTTTTTCACCAGAGAACCTACAAATCAAAACAACCATTTGACCCGGAGGGGATTTTAGGCACCCTCAGCGCTCTGGTGCTCTGTTGTCTCGGGGCACAGGTTATGATGATGATGATGAATCTAGAGGTGATGATGATGATGCTGGATGTAATGATGTTGAATATGAAGATGACAACAACGCTTTTATTATCACTCATTTTTATTCATTCATGCATTTATCTATTTATTTTCATTCATTCATTCATTCGTTCGTTTATTTATTTATTTGGTTGTTTGTTTTTTGCCAGATGGGCCGAGTGTCGACATTCTACGGTGGATACAGGAGCAAGCTGGTGAGATGGATGACGTGGGCTGTCCTGCTGGTTAGTCAATTAGTTAGTTAGTGGAAGGAAGGAGTGAAAAGTAAACGAATAAATTCGTCACTTTATTATTTCACCAGTTCATGCACACGTCAAACTTTAATAATTTCATTCATTCTTCATTAATTTCATGAAATTTGCCTATTAAATATAGTATATATTGTTTTATATAATTTGTTCTTTTATTAATCAATGTATTCGTTAATCCATCCATCCGTTAATTAATTAATTATTACATCAATTAATTAATTTATTTATTCATTGGACCTCATCATTGGAGGGCCTTTATCTACCCATCCATCCATCCATCCATCTATCCATTAATTCAATCATTCATTGATCCATCCATCCATCCACTAATTAATAATGCATTTAATCAATCAATTAATTAATTAATCAATTAATTAATTCATCCATTCATTGGACCACATCACGACAGGGCACCTTAGGTCTCTCCTTATGCTCCTTCCGGCAAAATACAGGGCCCATCCCACTAAACAAAAACCTGTGGTCACTTTCGTTCACACTGACCACTGCCTCCTCTGCCATCTTCGTTTTCATTGGCCTGTACATTTTGATTGACAGGCTGGCCCTTGTCAGCGGGGCCCCGTTTATTTATTTAGGTTTACTTTTCGTTTTTGCATTGTCGCACTATTTCATTCATGTTACATTTTAAGGACGTCGCTGGTTTATTTAGGGCTTATTTATTTGTTTCCTTTAATTTTTTTTTGTATTTGTAATAATTGTAACGGTTTAATAATAATAATAATAATAATATTGTTATTATTATTATGGCGATGATGGCGAATGTAATGGTGTGGAATATGAATGAATATATATAAAATAATAATATTATATATATAAAATATTATATATATAAATTATATATATAAAATAATAATAATATTATTATTATTATTATTTTTTTTTTACTATTATTTTTTTATTATTATGGTTATTGACATTAACACGCACTACAGGTATGAATTCGTTGTTAGTGTACGCGGGTAGCAGTCTATTGAATGGTAGCTTCCCATTCAAATTCTACCTGGCCGCCAACGCCACTCACAGCCACCTTCAACCGCTGCTGCTACATCTTTGGAATGTTCTGCTATGGTCGCTAATCGCTTATGTTTTGTTTTTTAAAAAAATATTTGTTGCCCTGTAAAATCTTTTTTTTTAAATTTTATTTTGTAATAGTTGGAAAGATTGTCTGCTGTTGAGTGTTTTTTGATATTTTTTTGTTTTGAACTGTTTTTAGCTTAATTTGTTTCATTAACCAATTCGTTTCATTGATAACGTAAATTACCTAGTTAATGTACGTGAATGAATGAATGAATGAATGAATGAATGAATGAATGAATGAATGAATGAATGAATGAATGAATGGAATAAATGAATGAATATAAATATAACTTGTTTACCTTGAATTGATTCTAAATCAAAATTAAAATGAACTATGAATGAATGAATTAAATAATAAAATCATTTGAATTCAAATACAATTCAAATACAACTAAAGAGGGAACCTACCTTAAATAAATACACAACACCGCGGCCACGTTTATGTTGCTAATTATGATGAAGATGATGACAGGAGTTGAGTTAATACTACAATATTATTGATATCGTTTTCAAAATGAAATTACTTGTTGCTATTACGGATTTTGCGAGAAATAGTACAACTTGTCGAAGAAATTTTACAGCATTTCCATATGAATTTTGAATTAAGTCATTATAAATCACGCTACTGTTAAGAGTTGGCTAAAAGTTCCAAACTGCTTGTTTCTGCTTGGGCGAACACATCTTGGAACGACGAACGTTTCTTGCACGTTCGCTTCCGTATGGACACGGTTTACTGAGATTTTTTCCAATGGAAAAAAAAATCTGAAATAATCACGAAGGTTTCGTAGCACGAAACGATTTCACGATTCTTCATATATTATTGGAATATTTATAGGGAAACAGACAAGAATTACAACTTTGATTAGTTTAAAATGCCAGATGAACTAATTTCTTTATGATGATCTACATACTTTTTCTACAGGAATGGCAGAACAAAAATTTCTTTCTTTCTTTCTTTCGTTCGTTCGTTCTTTCTTCCTTTCTTTCATTCTTTACTTATTTGTTTATTTGTTGGATAATTAAAATTCCTTCTTTAAAAGAAAGCATTAAATATTTGTCGCAAAATGATGCATGGAAGACCGATAAACGTTGAAAATGTCAAGTGTTTCCACAATTTTGGTCGCCATAGTCTGTCTCCATCAATATACAGGCGAGATCATGTTTCGTGTAATCACCCGATCACTCTTAGTCACATATTCCTACATATTACAAACATATATTATTTTTATTTTTAAATATTATTGTCTTTTATTTAGATGAAGATCGATTTTTTTATTTCTCGTTTTTAAACGTTGCATATTAGTTCTTTTTATATTACATTTGGGTGAATGTGTGATTTACTGCGCTGAAGTGCGTTTGCATATGTGCTTGAACTAAAGAGTATGCTTTTATTTGTGTGTGTGTTCGTGTGTGTGTGTGTGTGTGTGTCTATAACATACGTGTGTGTATCTATATATTTATATATATATATATATATATATATATGTGTGTGTGTTTGTATCTCTCTCTCTCTCTCTCTCTCCATCTCTCTATTTCTCTATTTTATATAATTATTCGTATATATGTACTTTTAAAAATCACACATTTACTCAAATGTAACAAAAAAGAACTAACATGCAACGTTTTAAAACAGAGAATAAAAAAATCGATTCTTATCAAAATAAAAAAAAATATTTAAAAATAAAAATACTATATGTTACACATTCTTGATTTGTGTGTGTGTGTGGTGTGTGTGTGTTTGTTTGTGTGTGTGTGTCTGTGTGGTTGTGTGTGTGCTCTGGTACATGTTTGTGGGTGTTTGGATTTGTGAAGATGTCGATCATGGAGATGGTTCAAATTTATTAGAAGCCAGAAGTATTCAGCGAATTAATAAAGTTATATTAATTAAAAACATTACAATAACAGCCATAGCAACAACAGTAGCAACAACAACAATAGCAACAACAACAACAACAATAATAAAAGCAATAACGCGAACGGAAGTGTGATCGCTGCAATAAAGCTCTTAAAAATAAGGAACAAGAAGAATGGGAAAAATCATAATTTAATTTCCATATTAATATTAGAATCCGCCCACGCGAAATACCTTACCTTTTTTTGGATACATGCTATTTTGTGTCTTTGCTGGTATGTATGTACAAACAAACAAACACACAAACGTTGTTTGTGTAATGCGGTGTTTATATATATATGTGTGTGTGTATGTGTGTGTGTGTGTGTGTGTGTGTGTGTGGTGGTTTTTTTTGTTGTAGGTAGGTACACAGTACAGTATTGTGCGGTGACAAATGTGGTGTCTTTGTTTGTACACGATGCAAATGTATAAATGTATGCGTGTATTTTGTTCGCGAAGAGTGTGTGTACAAACATTCAGTGTGGTGTGCATGTGTGTATTTTGTGGAGCTGTACCGGATTTGTGACTTTGACTTCGGCTGAAATTCAATTTAAATCGAAGTTAATTTTTTATCGTTTTAACGTAAGTTTCAGCATAATTTAAACGACAGTTTAAAAAATTTTAACAATTTTCGGACCATCAATGCATTCAAATATTGTCAGCATGGTACTTTGCAGTTGCTCAGGTAAAAAATAGAAAAATAAATTAAAAAATAACAAATATTGACGTGAGACTTGTTAAAACTTTACAATATGAAAAAATGTTTGGCTTGCGACGAATTTAGGCAAAAGTTGAAAAAAAGAACGTAATCAATGCATAAATTTGGCTTTGGTTTTGGCTTCGGTCGAATTTGCAATTTTAAATTTGGCATAATTCGGCTTCGGCTGAAATCAAAAAAACAAATTTGGCACAGTTGCGTGCATTGTAAGCAGGTGATTCAGAGGATTGTGATGTCTGTGTGTGCTCTGCTGTGTATGTTATGAGTGTGTGTGTGTGTGTGTGTGTGTGTGTGTGTGTGTGTGTGTGTGTGTGTGTGTGTGTGTGTATGAGATGATAAACTGATGATGATGTAGGTGCCGCCCAATACGTACGTAATAAATCTTACAGTTTGGTTTGTTTTATGTTCCTTTTCAGATTCACGTCTTTGTATATTTTGTTGTCTGCTAGTGTATTTTTAACGTTTTTTGTGTCTGTATGGTTAAATATTTGCACGTGTATGTTTGCATGTGTTTGTACATGTCTGTATACGTCTATGTATGTTTGTATGTGTGTATGTTTGAATGTGTACGAGTGTTGTAAGTGTATTCGTGTATAATATTTTACTACACTTTTTCTAGTGGTATATTTTTAGAATGAGCAACACTCACGACTGAGTTTTAAAGTTATTCAATAATTCACAACTCTCCCCTCCATTACGTTCAACTTTCGGGCTATAAATGTTTAAAAGAGGTGATTTATTTGAAAGTTTGAACGTAGGTACGCTCAAACACACACCGCACACACACACACACAAACACATGCACGTGCATTCACACACACAAACACACATACCCATAGATATACACTTGGTTGGTTGAAGAAAGCCGTAATTTAAGCGCCAGTACGGTGATACATTTTCAGTTAAGCCCCGGTTATGACGTAAGTCGCTATCCGTTAAAATTGGTTCGCCATATCTTAGTTTGTGGCAGAGAAGCAATTTTAAGAGTAAGATAACGAAATAAGACCGCTAAAGTCAGGTTTTTTTCTTTTATAAAATAAAATTAAAATAATCATTAAAGTATTGATACAGGTATTGAATAAGTATCGATACTCAGCATCAAATGTATAACCGATGCGAAGTGATAGCGATACTTCGGTCTTAACAACTTGCTCATCTGACGTATTTCTTTTACATCTATGGTCATTTTACAAATTTCTACAAATGTATGTTTGCAGTTTTGTATGTCTGAGCAAATAAGATTTTTCGTATCGAATTTGTATTTATGTATTTATGTTTGCATGGATGAATGTATGCATGCGAGCGTGTATTCATGTATGTATTATATGTGTGTTGTGTGCGTGTGTGTTGTGTGCGTGTGTGTTGTGTGTGTGTGTGTATGTGTGTGTAAGTGTGTGTGGAAACTGTATCTACAACACCATCGTAATCATCATTCAGTCACACGCATCAGTTAACATCTGAAGTTCAATCATTGTGGAATATTTAATGACTATAAGAGATCTACTGATTTTCCTCTGATGATGATAATGATGATGTTGGTGATGATGCTGATGATGACAGTGATGATGATGATGTTGGTGATGATGATGACAGACTGATGGATAGGATAATGATGATGTTGATGATAATAATGAACGAACTTTTGAAATTTTTTTCAAAATTACGTGACTGTACTTCAGAGCCACGATAACTATTACAATATCGAAAGAGAATGTGACATCACTCTGACGTCACTCAATCAACTTCCGGCGGCAAATCACGCAACGTACTGACAATTAATCAGTCATGCGTTCAGTACGTGCTTACCTAACATTCCATTTCATCTGATTTGGTCTTTAGTTCTCACGTATTTTCATTTCTTCTGATTTTGTTTTTTTTTCTGAAATGTTTTTTAATTTTAGGAAAATAAAGTTTTCGGAAGTGTTTTGGTGTAGATTAGATCTTACTACAAAGACATCAAATATTTCTTCATCATTTGGCCTCGTTACTAAACTAACAATAGTTCTTTGGAGTGTTATTTGACGCCTGCCTAGTTCTACTTTCAAAAGAAACATGTATGTTGCATTTGTAACATTAAATACTGCAAATATTATTCTATTGTTAGTGAAGTTGTTGGCACTGTTGTTGTTGTTGTTTTTGTTGTTGTTGTTGTTATTGTTGTTGTTGTTATTATAATTATCATTTTGATGTTGTATTGTTATTTTTAATGTGGTTGATGCGATTGTTGGTGTTGTTTAGACACACACACATGAATGTTCTCAAAACATTTATTATAACGACAGTTTCAGAAGGTAAGGTTCACTTAAATTCAAAATTGAACATCAGTTACGGAATGCGGGTGTCAAATTTGACGCAGTCACGCCATGCAAATGTGTCGGCTGGCTCGTTCACGGTCAATAAATTTCATCTTGCTTGGTTCTTTCATTATTACTGCGTTCGTCACCAGATGTCCAAGAACTTAACAGACCTGAAACCTGCAACGACAGCTGCTACTGCTATAAAAAGATGTTGAAAATATTATTAAATAACACAAGTATTACAGATTATAATAATTTTTTAAAATCCGCAACATTCAAACATTAAAAACGGCCTCAACAACAAAGACAAAATAGCTGCAACTCCATAAGTCGATACAACAACAACAACAAACATTTCAAAAACAACAATTACAACAACAACAACAGCAACACCATTTT